AGAGAACGAGAGCCGTATCAGCGCCTGGTCGCAGCACGCCGTTAAAAGCGAGTCACTCATAACTCTGACGTCTCCCACGGGTGAGCCAGAGACGGGAAACACGGGAGGAGACACGGGCCAGCGTGGGATTATGTTCACTGCTTTCACTTTTCCACAAATTTTAACAGAAAATTTTAATTTTCTAAAAGTTTGAGTTATTTTCCTGCTGTTAAAGCTGTTAGACTGCAACACACTGCTGTGGCCAGAAGGTGGCGCCGATACAGAACGCAGGCGGTGGGGATCAAACCACCGACGGCCCACAGCCTCCCACTGCGCCACGGCAAACCCAGAGGGCGCCATCACTCAACTTTGAAAGAGGTTTTTCCGGCTCCTGTGGAACAACAGGCAAAGACATGACAATGCTCAGGTAAAACTTACCTGCACCGCAGGTGTGAGCGCAGGAGGGGCCAATCCCTGAAAACAAGACAGAGGACAGAGGCGTTAAACTCTGAAACACGTTCAAAGGTTTCGTCTCCAGAGGAACGGCGAACAGAGCAGAGTCAGAAATGAATACGGCGCCGGGAAAACCGGGAACAGCGAGAGGAGAAGTGAGCGCCGAGTGGTTCAGACTTCGTTAAACGACAGAATAAAGGAGCAGAGCGCAGCAGCCGTCCTGGTTTAAGGCTCGTTTACGTCCGCCGCCCGCCACGCTGCTGCCATTTCCTGTCGGAAACCCTGTTAGAGCGGCTGATGAAGACGAGCCTGGCTGCTTCACCTGCAGCTGATTTAGCCTGAAATGAGGCGTCTGATTTATATTCAGTCCAATAAAGACGACTACGAAGCAGCAGCTGGAGCTGCGACGTAGAGACACGAAGTGCAGCTTCAACATCATCGTGCTGGGAGACAGCTGCAGGAACATCTGGATGGAGTCGTTTACTGTTTGTTGTTTGTACGCCGTGACCCACGTTAGACGACATCAGGGGTCACGCAGGACAGACGGGGTCAGAGTTTGGCCCCGAAGTCCAGGTTAGAACATGAAAATGATCCGAGTGAGCGCGAGCACGCATCCACTACAGCCCGCCCCCCGGCGACCAGCCCGGCGACCAGCCCGGCCCCCCGCGACCAGCCCGGCCCAAACGAGCACTAATTTATTTACAAATACATTCACATGTGATCATACCGGTATTACATGAAGGGTTTCTGTACACAGGCCCCGCCCACCCACCCTCCTTCATGGTCCTCTCATTGTGGGAGGGCGACGCCATGTCTAACCATAAACAGCTACCCGTTAACGTTGGCGGGTTGCCACAGCGTTTGTGTCATAACGACGACTAACACGTTAAACGCACTTTTTCAAAATCTTTAAAAACCAGAAAAACGTCAAACGTAGAAAGAAACGGCGCCCGCGGTGGTAAAAGCCTTTTTCAGAGGGAACCGTCGCTCTGATCCACCAGACGAGAGATTTCTGCCATCGCTGGTCTTCCAACACAAACCGACCAATCACAGCAGCCGTGGGCGAACAGCTCACTGTCAGGTTAAATCGCTGTTTTTGTGAATGGCGTCTGGTGAACAGTCACTTCCTGTCTCACAGCAGGAAAGAGGTGAAATCGTCCTAAATATGAATGTTTACAGGTTTGATGAAGGAGCGAGGGGAGACGTTTTATTGGCTCGCTCACCGCCGCCGGTTTCTTTGTGGCGTTAGCCGCCAGCTCCTGAGCCTTCTTCTTCTCCTTCTTCTTCTTCTCCTTGTCGCCATATGATCCTTTGACCTTGGCGATGACCTCAGAGTCGGTCTTGGCGTACTGTATCCTCTGGAAAAAACAAAAGGGTTAAAGGCGCAGCTGCTCAGAGGGAGGAAGTCAGCGACGACCACGACGAAGGTGGCATTCTGGCCTACCATGGGCTTGTTGTAGAAGGGGAAGCCCTGCAGCTGCCTCAGGGCGTTGGTGGCGGCGGCGAGCTCTTTGAAGATGACGAAGGCCTGTCCCCTCATCTTCATCGTCTTCATGGCCACGATGTCGATGACCTGCCCGAACTGGGAGAAGAGCGCGTAGAGCGAGCGCTTCAGCTCTGTGGGAGGAAGAGGAGACACAAACATCTCGACGTTCATCCCGGAGTCTTTTTATT